AGGTCAGGATTCGTATCCAAGTCTTCCCTGCGCTATTCAGCACCGTTTTGTATGTATCAGAATGCACATTGCTTGTTGAGATTCTACTTGCACTGCATTGTACATTCAGTCCTTTTTATCACATTGTGGATCCTCAGTTAATATGTACATCGCTTATCTGGGCATGTAACACCAAGGCAGATTCCTGCTGCACGCCAATATTAAGTTTGCCAAACCCCTACAGCAGCGTTTTTCTTTTTTTCCTTTCGGCCGGAGCCAAGAGCCATTTTGTGTCTGGTACCACTGGGCATCCAAAGTATCATTTTCTGTCATGTTCGATTCTCTTCTTCTTTTTTCTTTTTCTTTTTTTTTTTCTTTTTTTCTTTTTTTTTTTTTTCTTTTTCTTTTTTTTTTTTCTCTTTTTTTTAGGTAAAGAAACATCTGGTAAGGGGGGAGGGGGGGAGGCTGATAAGAGCAGGGATCCCCTCCACTGTCCCCGCTTGTGTACGGCTCCGTTCCATTTAAAACAACATAAAAGAATCATGGAGTCTGAGATGAGCTACCGAGACGGCGCAAAGTCCGGCCCCTTGGATTGCAGGTAAACTCCCCCTCCCGAGGCCAGTGCCAACGACGAGGTGTAAGCAGACCACACAATCCAACACAGCCCACCGCATCCGCTCACTCGACTGTGTGCGAGCACCACCCGCCCACTCCACGCCCTGAGCTCGCGAGATCACCACACTCTCCGAACAACGGTGTGCTTAAAGGAACCACCGATCGCTTGGCTCACAACCGGTTGCGAAGTGCACCGCCTTTACTCCGCTACCAACCCGTCCAAGATGCTCGGACCCACATAGAGCACATTAGTGACTTCGCCAAGAGGATGGAAATGCAACATTCAATCCTGGCAGTGTCATGCACTATTTCGATGGCATGGCACAAAAACGGGTCACAAGGGACATGACTTCTACATGCGAGGAATACAAACACACAGCTTCTACATCCCGACATACATTGCGAGTCCTTTACGCAAGCCCATGAGACATTCATGAGGAGTGTGTTAAGACATGGCATTGCTCGGACAATCCCGTCGAAGTGCTCCAGATAGACTAGTGCAGAACACATTGCAATCTGATCCCAGTTAAATCTTCACATACTCACGATGGAACTGAACAAACACCTTCAACAGGGTGTGTGTCTAGGCAGCCAGCGTGGACGAGGACAGCAGATCCAAGAGGAGAGTGTAAACCAGCAGGAGACTGTGGCCAGCAAGTGTTTGCTATAAGGGCAGAGGCTCTTCTATTTTCCCCCTCTGCATCCTGCATATCAGGCATCTACTGCAACCACCCAGACTCCCATTCTGTGAAATTTACTTGACAAAGAGCTGCAGAATTGGTGCATTACCCAGCAAAGGAGGATGGCAGCCCAGGTTCCAACTCCAGCGGCAGGATAAGTGTGAATCGTCCTGGTATTGAGAACAACAGCTTCCGTATTAATGGATGTGATCAAAGGGGGAGACCAACATGGCAAGCGTTTCAACCCCAGGCCTGATGATGCCGGACTGGGGACCGGCTGAAACATACGTAGGGAGTTCCTTTCAGATAGCGCGTCAGTCTAACTCTTGTATTCCTCGTGTTTCGAAATGCGCTTTTCCTCGTGTTTTGGATTTCATTGTCAGTCCACCATGATCGTGTTGCCGTTGTGTGATTGTCTCGCTCGATGTACGTCATGTATGCGGACATGCGTCGCAAAACCCCCATACCACGCACGATTGTTTTTTTGTACGCGTTTGTACGCGCATACAAAACTGCTTTTTCTTTTTTTTTTCGTGTTTTTTATTTTATCTCAAAATTTGTTGCGAAATTCACATTTTGTCTGAGGCAAAAGTTGTTCAGAATAATGTCTTCTATCACATATATTTTTTTCAGAGTTTTCTGACAACTTTTTTTTTAATATATTTCAATACTACGGAGTAGAACACGGAGCACAACCTCTGTACAACGGAGTACAACGCCCGTACAAAATTTTCAATGCTTTTGTCCGCGAGGCATGCCCAGGGTGCGGAGGGGATCGGGGTAGACAGAAACAAGCCGCCGGTCTCCGCATGACCAGTGATACGGTGCATGCCTTCCGTCCACGATGCACAATCAGAGAAGTTGCGAGGAGTTGTCGTAGTCTGCCTTCCAACCTGTACAACAACTTGGGACTCGTTCTTTTCTTTTCTTCTTTTCTTCTTTTCTTAAGAAAGGAGGACTCCGAGTCATGGGGTGACAAACTGGAGTTCAGTAGGTCTCCGACAAAAAATGCAGATGGCAAAATGGGAACAGGACAGTCCGTTCCCAAACGATACCATGGAGGAGGGGGCTTGGGCACACACAGCCGCCTGGGGACAAGACTTAGTACGTAACGGGAAAAAAGGGCTTGCTCATATTTCAAGCGTCGGAGAGGCAGTGATGTTCTCTTGCACACCACCAAAGAGGAAGCCGTAGCATTTGTTACATGCTGCGCCTGCAACAGGCTGCACGGGCCATTTCCAGGCCCGTGGCGTTTTCAGGCCAAAAGCCTGAAAACAAGGGCCTACAGTCCCTGTGTCGTTTCAGGCTAAATCAGGGCCTTTCCGGCCCTGAGTGTTTTTTGCCTGAAACTGAGGGCCATTTCCGGGCCCTCATCAGTTCGACCTGCCCTGAAACTCAGGCAACCAACCAGGGTTTTAGCACAGGCCATTTCGGGCCTGTTTTCAAGACAACCCCTGGTTGAGCTTCAACGCCAGGGTCTGGCACGTTTCGTCATTGGCAAGAGCAGCCTCCTGGACGGGCCAGCACTATGTAGGACTGGCCCGCCCTGCAGGCAGGCGGGTAGTTCCTAGGTACTTCCCAGGCACTTCACGTGCAGTTCAGGAGGCCAGAGGTAGTCTTCAGGATTCGGCAGCAGCACTCTGGAGGAGCGCTGCAGGAGTAGTAGTAGCGTTAGCAGTAGTCTTCACCGCTGGGCACTAGTAGCGTTAGCAGCAGTCTTCAGCGCGCCATAGGAGCTAGTAGTACTAGAGAGAGAGATTGGGCGGAGGGCAGGGAGACTTACTTGCAGCGCCATTGCTCCAGCTTCGTCTTCAAGGTACCTGCAGCACAGCGCCATCTTCACAGGTTAGTACCTGGCACATGACAGAGAGAGAGAGAGTTCTTCTTCCTCCTCTTCTCAGTCCACCATCTCCTTCTCACCCTCTCGCTATTTAACTTCACTGCATCAGCAGACTATGAGAGAGAGAGAGAGAAAAAGATTGGTGACATTTGGATCCAGACTCGACATTCGACTTCAGACATTTTGACGAGGGATTATTTGGGACTTGTAACGAGACTTGGTGTTGACGACTTTCCCATCTCTTCCCTCCTCTTCTCAGTCTGATCCCCTCCTCTTCGAAAAAAAAAAACAATAACATAAAGGGATAAAAAAAACAAAAAAACAATCTGGAGAGTGTCTCTGTGTATGTGTGTGTGCGTGCATGTGTATGTGTGCGTGTGTGCGCGTGTGTGTTTGTGTGTGCGCGTATGTGTGTATGAATGTGTCCCTGAGGCCTTGAAAAACCCGTGAATGGCCATTCATGGGTGCAGGGTCCCGTGACCGGCCGTTCAGCAGACACTAAATGGGCTGGCGACCGGTCACGATGCCCACACTGATGCCCGGTCATTATAGCTGTATCTGGACTGAAAATTGCACCAAAAACAGGCGTTATCTCGCACAGAGCTACCGTCTTCACCCGAATAGAATGCCAAGTCATTATAGCTTTACCTGGACTGAAAATTGCACCAAAAAAACACAGCTATAATGACAGGGCGTTCTATTCGGCTGAAAACGGTAGGTAGTACACACGTAACGACAGATATAACCTTCTGCCCGCTGACTAAACTCTTTGTCAGCGATCGATAAAAAAAAGGACAGACGAACACATGTAATTACTAATCAGTGAGCCACCCAGTACGCTCTCCCCCAGCAAAAAAATACCACCAAGTTTAAACTGTTGGTACAGAAGTAGGAAAAATAAGACTCGACATTGTTCCCTGCTGTGTTCGTCACTTTCTCTCTTTAAAAGCAAGAGGCACCCAGCAACAAATTATGAACATCATCAAGTTCGGACTGTTGGTGACTGTCAGCAATTTGCCAAAAGCTTCAATTACGTCCAGAAAAAAAAAAAAAAAAAAAAAAAAAAAAAAA